CACATGTCCAGGCTTCATCTCCATAACAAACTGGGGCAATGATCTCTCCCTCCTTGGTCCACCAGCCCAAATGCCCTCAGCACCAGGACCCGCTGCTCCTTCTGCTCCCACTAGGCAGGATGGGGACACAGCTCCGTCCTGTGGTGCACCGATGCCAGGGGAGTTCAGGAACCAGTTTTGCTGCTGGGACCGCTCCTGGGACAAACATCTTCGCTGGCTTGCTGACAGGCGGGGGAGCCGTGGTGTCCAACACACCAGCTGCTCCTGGAGTAAGGGTGCCAGCCCAGAGGAGGCAGCACACCCTGCTGAGATCAGCATGGGACCCCACACCTTGGTGGTGGTGGCTTCTGATGGGGGAAGCCCCAAATTTTGGCTCTGCTATCACTAGGGTGCTGCTCATGCTTGGTGCTTCTCTGATGACCTGGCTGGACACCCATACAGCACTGATGACATGGGAGCAGATCACCTTTCTGCCGCAGGTTTCAGACCTCTCCCTTGGGGCCACGCACAAGCGCTCCATGCCGAGGGCAGCTGCGGTGTCCCAGGCTGCATGGGGGCAGCTCTTGGCATCAGAAAGACTGGTCACTGCTCCCAGTGGCGCAGTAGCTCAGACATGCTTGGCTAAATGACTTTCCCAGCAGATTCTGCAATAGCTTGTGCCTTGAGAGAGAGAGAGATACTGATATTTTTAGGCAGTCTTTAGGGAAAATAAAGCTTCAAGGAGGATCCAGTGCTCTGTCCTACTGTGTTATAAAGATTTAATTCCAGTGCATGCTGGTATGCTGTGGAGATGTACACCCCAAATCACAGTATTCCTTCCTTCCTCAACCTTCCTGTGTAGTGGCTGCAACAAATGATAGACCAAATACTCTCTTCTCCCCTCTTCACTCCCAGGACAACTGCCCCCATTATCAGACAAGACCCTGACCTTTTGATCCATCCATCTTGTCTCCTCCACTGAGTCTGGGCTGAGCTACAGCCCTTTATTTATTCACGCAATGTAAGTTTCCTCATGCTGCTTCACCAGTGCACATCAACTGTGACCTCGAGACACTATCCTCTCCTGGGATAAGCATGTTTTTCAGTCCCAGGCATCTCTGGAGTAAAGACTGACAGTTCTTTAAAGGAGGGGGAAAAAAAGCAGGTGGGAGGAATGACAGGCTGAAGTACACTTTGGTTTAATAGGATAAAATGGAGCTTGATGAAAGTAACTCAGTCTGCAAGTCACCCAGTCCAGAACAGGATTTTAATGCCGTGCTTTCCTCAAACTAGTGACTAACCTGGCGATACTGCTGATGGTGGAAAATGCGTCACCCCTTTTGTGATTTTCCTTACCCTGATCTCTCATCTAACGCAAAACCGTTTTCAACTGTATTATCTTCACACTGAGCTCTGTAGAATTCACCACCTGGTAGGCAGAAGCCTTTCTGGTGCTGCTGGGAGGAACAGCTCGCCAGTGACAGCCTGCTGCTGCTGATGCAACCTGCTTTGTTTCAAGCAGCCCAAGAGACCCAGGCATGGAGCCCATCGCACAGGCGCACAGACCAGACGCTGGGTTGTGCTTCCCCAGAAGGTGAGGGGAGATGACGTCCTGACTGGTCCACATGGAGTTCGATGATCTGAGGGGAGACAGTTCACTGACTGGGGGTGCACCAGGGTTCCCATCTCAGGCTGGAGACGTGTCTGCAAACAAGGGTCCTGCTCCAGCCCTGCTGTCTGGCCAGAGACAAATCCTTGCTGTCTCACTACACCTTGTCACTCCCAGGTGCAAGCAGGCTCCAGCACCTGGTCTGAGGGAAGGTTTTGAAGCTGGAGGATGCTGGTTGTAAGATGTGAGGCACTGACTTTCAGGCACTCCAGCACTACCCGGGTCTGGGGAGCAATCGCTGCAGAGAGGGCAGCCCCACGCAGCTGGTGGGGTGTAAGGGTTCTGGCTCTCCTGCTCTTGTTCCAGCAGAGCCTGGCCACTGGCATGCCCACCCCCACTCTGCTCAGCAGCAGCTCAGGGCACTGCTGCTCATGTGGAAGGGAGGGCTGTCTCGCTCCACGCCTGATCACCATTTGACACCACACGTGGACAACGTAAAGGTGTAAAGGCCTCTGCACCTCGTATGCACAGGGGCTACGCTGCTGCCCTCGAGCTCCTGTACCAGCACAACCATGCTAATATGGTCAGGTGTTCTGGTGTTGAGCGATTTTTCCAATACTGACGTTGCCTCTCACATTGGCCAGGCTGCTAAATAATGCATCACCACAAAAAGCCATTGTGCAATGCCCGAGGAGGAGTAAAGTGCACTTCTTACCTCAGGTTAGAGGAAGACAATGGTGGAATGAGGGCAGGCAGAGACTTAGAGGAGGTTTCCATAGGGAACCTCTCCAGAGCGCGTTATCCCATCAGAACAGTGCTCTCCTGTCTTTCATGTCTAAGAGCGCCTGCCTTATTTCTTTTATGGCATACCACACTACACTAGAAAATGTCTCACAAGCATGCTGATTGCTCAGAGTGTCTCTCGTTAGATGCTCTTACAGTTTGTTTTTTTCTTGGCCTCCTGGACATTGTGAAAACACAGGTGCTTCCATTTTGGGGGACTGAAGCAGAAAACTACCTGCTCTAGACATTCTTTGGTAAATGAGAGGCTTGGAGAATCTGAAAACTCTCCAGAGCATGGACCAGACCACACCACAGTATCATACACTGAAGAGAGAACGGTGAGGCCACAATATCGAGTCAATGTTATCTTAAACACCCACCAAAACTTACTGAATATTAGCCTGAAAAATGTTGACAAACAGCTCTGGGAAGAAGATTCCCCAAGATCTGCCTAACCACAGGTTAGGGGTACTGTCCATGCCCTATTTTTGTACTTATGCACTTTCTTGTTATCCCTGGAGGTGGAACAGCCACCAGGAGGCAACCCTCTGTGAGCAGCCACACAGTCACCCTTGATGAAGGCAGGGATGGTCCATCCCTGCAGGCAGTCTGTGTACAGTAGGCGCAGGCCTATTACGTACCCCCAGACTGTGGTAACTCTTGATGACCAAGCCATCCATCCCTTGCAGAATCTCGTCCTGTTCGGAATCCCCTTCATCATAACACTTCTGTCCAAGGAAGTTTTAGGGGACACAAGAGCAAGGATGCAGTCTGTGTGCTCTTCAAGGAAGGGTGCAGCTCTCAGAGAAGAGATTTACTTCCTTGTGACAGCTTGGCTGGACAGAAGAACAAACCAATACACGAGAAAAGTTGTTCTCAATACTTGGCCTAGAAGAACCTTCCACCCCAGTCTACATGCTGGTTCAGCTAACAGCTACGGGAGGCTTCTGCTCAAACAGAACCATGTATTGACAAACAAAAAGGGATGTAAAACACAGCATAAAGAAAACAAGTTTTGATGTTAGGAGAAAACATTTTCAGGAGTGGAATTGCTTTTGTTTTAGTTACAGCTAAAAGTGATTTGCTTTTTCAGTATCATCAGGAACTTTTCAATCAAGTAATCACTGAAGTTAAGCAAAAACAAATTTCAGTCATCAACAAGGACACACTTGAGCAAAACTGGGCATTACATTTCAAAGCATTACGTAGGCATAGCTCTGCTCCAAACACCACTGAGATGAGGTGGCACGGTTATTAAAATACCACCTTGGTGACCTTGCCAAAGAAGCAGCTCATTAAGTTAGGGAGTACCAGCACGGAGTACTACTGGCAGAATGACAGCCCTGAATTTTCTCTAGTATATGCATTTCCCCTTCTCAGACACCTTGCACTAGCACAGGTTACAAATACTTTCTAATTTTAAAACACAACCATAGCCAAACACCTGCTTCTCAGTAAGAATCAGGAAGATGTGCACGTTTCTTAAAATGGGCTGTGAGTTGCTATCAATTGCTTAGCAAAAGGAGTAGCATAGTATAGAGTATGTAATGAATCGGTATAATTTCCTTTTGAAAACCAGAAAAATCTCTTTCCAGAGGTTTCATCTCAGAAAACAGAAGAAGACACTGTGTTTAATTATGCTTAGCAAAGCAAGAAAATGTAGGACCTACAATTTTTTATATCCCTCATGTAAATTTTATTTGAGTTGTTCCTTTGATGAAGCATATTTTCTTACAAAGCTTTTAACAATACACTTGTTTAATTACAGTGTACAAAAATAACTGTCTTAAAAAAATTATTAAATTTTAGCAAACTCTGGTTGGAATCAAATACAGTTTTCATACCCTGCTATCTTTTCTCCAGAAACACCTTGTACATCAAGGGGAACAAGGATATATTTAAACTGAGATGTAAACTCCGTTCCATTCTCAGCTGCTTTCTCCTGCCCTGCTGACTCTCAGGCAAAGACAGGGAGCAGACTCGTGTAGAGCTCACCCGTGGTTGGCATCAAAAGCCGTGATGCTAAGTGTAACAGATCCACAACACTGCGCCACAGGACGAGGCGGGAGACTGTCACGTCCCAAAGTGCAAGGCGACAACTTCACAGCACCTTCCAGGAGGGACAGATGTGAAAAAATGCCCAGCTCGCTCTGGAGAGGTTGAGCGGCTGTGGGGAATGTGCTTTACATCTGCGCCCCTGGTCTATATCCCCATTCCTCCCAAGGCGAGAGACTCGCTGGCAGTCAGCTCCAAAGGCATTGCGCTCCCCAGCAGCAGATCCTGCTCTGGCAGGCAGAGCAACATTTCATCAGTGAAGAAACAAACCCCACCAAACCCAGCGTGGCCCCCTTTCCCTCCCACACCCCTGCCCCCACAAGCAAATAAAACAAACTTACAGCCGAATCTGGGACTGCTGAAAAGAACAGCCGTTCCAGGCACAAGCATTAAGCCCTGCCTGCTCAGTGGACAGGTCAGGACAGACAGACAGAGCACTCCCTCTCGGGAGCAGAGACAGATATTCGGCGAGTGACTGGTGCCTGGGCATCCCTGCCCGGGTTCAGGGACGGACTCAAATTCAGTGTGCTAAGAGAGGGACAAAAATGAATGGTGCTACCTATCTGAATCCTCGTCACCAAGACTTCCGTTTGGACTTCTTCCTCCTCTGTTTTATGAAGAATAAATTATCACCGATATCAGGACTAGTGTCTTCCTGCTTCTTCCATTTCTTCTTCCTTTTAGCACTTTCCAGATGCTCCTGCACATAGGCAGCCTTGCTGCCTGAGGATGCCTGGACTATGGACTTGTGATAGATTTTGCTGCGCTTCCACGCCTGCCTTTTACACCCTCTAGGGAAGTCCTCCCCCAGGTTGTGGCTGACTTCAACATCTCTTCTGTGTTTCTCTTCTCTGTATTTCTCTGCCTGGGACCTCTTCTTCATCTTTTTGTGACACTTGCCATCTTTGTGACGCTGCTCATATTCTTTCTCAGGCTTGCTCTTTTTCTTATGGCTGTGCCCCCCCTGTTTTTCGTCCTGCCACGGTGCCTCTGACTGCTCTGGCAGAAGGCCGGCTTCCTGTAGTTCTGCAAAACAGAGCAGTTTATTTCAAGATCCACACATAAAACCTAAAACTTAGTGCCCAAGCCATCACAGCTTCCTTATGTATTTACAAAGTTAGTTAAAAACCAAAATCTACCTCTGATAGATTTCTTCATGGTGTTTTTCCCTCTGTCAAAAGACTGGAATCTTAATGAACTCCAGCTTAGTCCTCTTTCAGGAAGTTTATAGCATTTTTATTGTCACTGGATTTTTTAGAATTAAAATATCTGAGAATGCCCAACTAGTGGCTTTGACACAATAAATTTCCACGACAGACAGAGATGAATAACGCCACACATCTTCTACTACTGTCAGACTATTTGGTCAGATCCCTATGGCCTTTCCCAACACATGAAAATAATCCCACAGGACTTCTAAAAGCAGCAAGAAAAGAAGAAACTATTTCAAAGAACTGAAAGGGAGGAGGGTTCTTCCAAAATATACCGTACCTGCAACCTTTCTTTTTAATCTGTTTGCTCTTTTCTTCACCTCATATTCATCATCGTAGCAGTAGATAAATGGAGATGCAGGCAACATGCTTCCATGCATCCGCTTTTCCGAGCACTCCTGCAAAACACATTTCAGGTCACAAGATGTGGCGGAGTCATGATTTTCCTGAAAGGAAAATGAGTTGGGTTTGGCAGGTGCTGGTCTGAACCTACGGTGGATGTGGCCACCAATTCCTTAGACACTGATTATTTTATTACCATCCAACGGTCCTTCCTGCGCACCTGCCAAAGTACGCATTACGTGAGCCAAGCTGCAGTCCCCTGCCAGCCAATGGCAGGAACGCTGTATCTTCCTGCAATTTCAACGCCTCTGTGGACTGAGAGAAGCAGGGAACTAGAGGCAGGTGAGCACCAGGTGAATTTGGTGCAAACTGCAGCTGGAGTGGATGTGCCCGGAGAGGGGCGCGTGTCCTGCCTGCAGCCCGGCCCGGTCCCCCCGCTGCCGGGTCCTGCTGCCTCTTGCTGCCCGCTTTGCTCTCCCGGCACAACCACATGCCCACTCTCCTCGAGAGACAAGTGCTTCTCATGGCAGCGCAGCTCTCTGAAGCTGGGTCATTAGTGGTGAAAGCAGGTGCAGCGGTGTGTAGACTGGAAGTGTGGGGTGGGCTGAGGGAAGGAGGGAGCCACGGCGAGGGGCACCATCCTCACTGCACGGCCCTCCTGCCCCTAGAACCGCTGAGCACTCAGACTGAGGGGGTGCTGTTTTCTCACCCACACAAACCAAAAGCAAGATCCGCAGGAGCTGTTGTGCAGGCACGTGAGATTGCCGGGAAGAGGAAGAGAGCCTCGACAAGGCAACTGAGCTGAGGAAAGGACTGGCTCTTGCACCACATGCATGCCAGCCGTATTTCCCAACTACTAGAGTCAGGAATCAGAATTTATTCATCGCTGGACAGAGTTTTAGCCATGTCTTGTAAGTCAGGCTACTTTGGATGCTTCCTGTGGTTCCCTGTTGTTTTTTTCAAGGTATGACACGGTATTAATCGATACCTTTTTCCCCTTGAAAATTGCTTGTTATCTGTTGTGCTTTGCAATATCATCCTTCTACTTCTTGGATACTGCCCAAATCTAGTGAACTCTGGGCCTTAACACTTCAAGGAACTGTCAAGAGTTTTCACTCACCCTGATGTCTCCACCACAAGCTAAGCTGCTGCTCTCTTTCTGGCGTTTGCTATTTCTCCCACTCAGGGCCACCTCTACCACCTCCTTTCCCTGTGTGTCCTCCTGCCCCCTCCCCCTCTCTTTTTCAGAGCACATCAAAGAGGCATTTCAGATGTATTTCATATCTGTCAGCTTGTGTTTGGCCTCTGCTTGGCTGAAACTAAATGAAGAATCAGGTTATACTCTGTGGTGCCCTCCAGAAGGGTATCGTTAGGTTGTGTGACAACAGCCTCATCTGCCCATACATGGAGGACCACGGAGGAGAAATGGCAGTTCATGGCTGGAGCCTACCCAAGTCTGAGAGCAATTCAGACAATTCACTCTCTCACCTCATGGTGAAATCAGGCTGGAAGAGACCTAGGAGGGGGCATGCAAATCTGTCTGTGGCCTGGGGCCATTCTCGGTTGCTATTCATCTGAGAGATGGAATCAGTGGACACTGAACACCTTGGACAGCCAGCTATCACCCCACAAAGAGACCTCCTCTCTCACCTTTCCTCAGTCCTCCATCTACCTCCCTCAGATTTAAGCCGACAGAAAAGCGTGATAGAGATAGGACACTTCAAATACCTGTGTCTCACATGAGTGAAACCTAAGAGTGGCCTTTAGGCAGGGCATAAAGCTGCCTGCCTATCTGGAACAAATGAAAGGAAACATTATTTCTAGATGTGGCCAAAGAGGTTGCTGAAAACACCACAGATTGTCAGTACACAGGAGTATGAAAGGATACATTCACCTTTCTGTAACACCTGTGAAGTGTACTGCTTGAGTTCCCGCATTGAGCCCAGGGCTTGCTCTGTGGGCAGGTGGCCTCTCGGTTATTTTTGTTTCATTAATGGGCTGAGAGGGAAGACTTAGCAAATGAAATGCACGTGCCACCCAAATCATCGCTCCTCTTTTCCTCTGTACCCCCACTGCACTGATAAACCAGCTCAGCAATGTCCAACATGCACTTGGCTGTATCCCTCCCTCTCCAGAAAGCTGCCACTGCTGCCACGCACTTGTACTGCCAAATACTCCTGGGACAGTCTCTGGTGCTGGAGGAGGGAAGGCAGAGCCTGATATAGCCTGCAGGAGGAATTTTCCGTGTGAGTGGCACGCTGGGATGTGCATGCAAGGCACATCTGCAGATACTGAACAGTTCCTGCTGCCTTCAGAACTCACTGCAGCCTGAATAATGCAGCGAGCTGTCCCCCATTAACTTGCTCTCATGCTTAACTTTCCTATGGGGATGCCCCTTAAGACGACCTCATCTTTGTTATGAACCATAAGAGACAATGTTTTGGATGTGTGGAATGCCAAGAAATGAACTCTGATGCCAAGTCTAGTAAAGAAAATAAGATTTTTTGTCCTTAGTAAATCCTTAGTTTAGATAAGAACACAACTGTCTGAATAAACAACATAGCAGAGTCAGGGAACATAACTGTCAGGTGCTGGAATCTCTGACTGCTTATGTTTTAACTGTTTCCTTTTTTACACACAAGAAGTGATCCGCAGTGACTTCCTTACTGGAAGCATAACTGGAAGCAGTTAACTCTGGGATGTAACAAGTTTATTTTACTCTTGCCTCTGTTTTGGGGAAACATGTCCCTAGACCTCTAGCAAAGAAAAGGAATTTCAGGTGTTCCTAAACCAAATTAAATGTTAACATGAAAGGCAAGGATTGCAGTGGGAAGCACTGATCAGTGTGTCTGTACAAAACTAACCCCTGCCTTTTCTTCTTGGCCAGCGTATCACCTCTCTGCTTTAACTGCTCACAAAAAGCAAGAGAGCAGGCTTCCCGAGGTATAGAAATGGGATAAATGTTAAGAGATGCTTGTGATTTTTACCTGATCAGAAATACTTACATTTAAAAAAAACAAACAAAATCACTTTTTCCCTCCTTAAATTATAGTCTGATCTTTCAAGCTCTGACAGAGCTGCTCACTGCAAGCACCCAGGCACTGATTACCACGTCAGTTTTCTGAGCCAGTGAGAGCTGCCAGTGTCAGGTGGATTGCCTGTCCAGCCGGGTTGCTGGTCCAATTTCCTCAGTCCTTCTGGGCCAGAAAGTTCAGTGATTTGAGGGCAAACGCTCAGTTATCATTACATAATCTGATGTGTGCTCTGGATGTTTTTCTGTGTGCATATAGGAAAACTTAGTATTTCTACTCTTCTGTGTTATTGGCTTCTCCATTTTCATTCAGTCATTGCTCAGGCTGTTTCTGCTTCTCATATGCTAATCACAATACTGTCTTATCTCCTTCGATAGCCATAAAACGTTGTCCTTCAGACACTTCACTCACTTGCTGAATTTACACAATTTTTGCCATTTTCTATCAAAGTAATTACTATCAGATGCTCCCATGTATTTACTATCCTTACAGCCTTTTTTGTGTCTATGTACGGCTGCCTTCCTCAAAAGCCATTTTATGACAGTCTAGTAAAACGTTCCTTATCCAGTGACAGCAGTCAGTCCCTTCTTCAATCTTGTCCTTTCAGTTTTTACTTTGTGTGCTCCTTTCAGTGTCTGTGTCACCGGCAGGGGCTTTATCTCAGTCCTGTTTAACAGGATTGGTTTCAGCGCTGCTTTGGTGGGTTTTGTCAGCCCTGGTCCCAATGAGCAGGTGGAACAGGCTGGTCCATGTGACGGCCAGGCTGAGCTCCTGTAGCTGTGCCCGGAGCAGGGGTCTCACAGGCAAAGCCAAGGAATCACACTCCTGTTCTACAGCCACCCCTGCCGTGCCAAGGGTGATGCCAGGCTGGGGGCACATGCTGGCCTCTGGCATTGCCCCAGTGGATTTTTCCTGTCCCCTCCCACCTGTCTGTGCCAGCAGCCACGTGTCCCGGGCATACGTGATGGCCGCCGTGCGCTGTTCCTGGGCGAAAATCTTTGGTCGTCTCCAAAGATGGCTCAGCACTAAAAATCTCCCATTTATGTCTCAGGTTTGTTGTGAGAAGATAACAGCAAACCCGTTCCACCTTGCTCACTGTTCCCCACAGGGACTAACTATTTAGCCAGAATCAGAAGGAAGCGTTTAATGATAACGTCTTCGGTAGTTGTAGGAGTTCACACACAGAGCTCGGGGGAGAGGAGGAAGGAAATTGCTGGGAATTTGCTATCTCTAAGCTGCAGGAAACTATAAACTTAACCCAATCGACACATGAGTAACAATCATTTTATAGAACAGTTGGGGCTCCTGGACTTATTCTGTAAAAGAAAAAGGACTAACATTTGTTTGGTGCTAATATTTGCAGGTACAGAGAGCTGCACTTGTCATGGCACAGGGCTGAAAAAGGTGATAGACATGATGAAGCAATCCTAGAAGATACAGCATATCTCTAGTTTTTACTGAAGCCATTTAAGGCCAATAAACTTCTCCTTCAAAACCTTACTGAAGGAAGATGCAACCTTAATTCAGATGTTGAATTAAACTAAGAAAACTACAAATAAAGATTATCAGAAGTAGGCAGAAATGAAACATTCCTAAAAACGGCACTCAAATTTTTGGGCTGATTGTGGCAAAAAACCTTATATGATGTTGAACACGGCAGCAAGGCACTAATCTTTCATCCCATGAGCCCCCCAAAAAAAAGCGAGAAAAAAAAAAGCAAGATGAAAAAAGAGCTCTGTTCAGAAACTACCTGTTTTCCAGTGAACATTCTCTCTCCCAGGCAGTCTCATTTTGATTTGAGATTTTAAAAAAAAAAAATCAATAAACCTGCCAAGGAGAGATAGTAACTTTTCTTTTCCTCCGTATCTTTAAATTAGATGGGTGAGATCACTTTATACATTGGCCTCCACTGACTACAGCAATGCTGCAAAGTCACAAACATTTCATTAGAGCAGCCCTTTGTAGAGCATTAGCTTGACTCTTCCGGCTCTTTTCTTCAACCACACACTGTGACAGAGATGAATTTCCACCCCAGGGATGTACTCAACACTGAGGAAGAGACTGCCGAGACTTACGTATCCAAAATGTCCTTTCTGGGAGCAGTTGTAGCAGTACGCTGAAGCAGAGGGCTTGAAGCGAGAACTCCTTGCCTTGATTGGTCCTGGCTTAGTCTGAAAGATGGAAATGGGCAAGAATTAGGTCTGGCAGTATTCTGAATGCTGAATTAAAAATAAATTAAAATTACATAAATATAATTTTATTATGCTTAAATCAATACCTTCTCGCTTGCTGGTGGAATATTAAGTTTGAAAAAGAAGCAAGTGGCTCCTATTAGTGTAATTTTGCAGAGCAAGGTTCAGCCTAAGCATCACAAATGAGGTGAGAAGAGGCATTCCCACTATCTATTCCACCTGGCCATGTTATTTCAGCTCTGAATATAAGAAAACAGGCTGACGATTTGTCTCCCTCTTGACTCCTCCTTGGCTCCCAGCTGCCTCCCCCTCTCACCATCCCCACCATCCCCTGGGAGGGACAGGGACACCAGGGGATGGGCAGGTTTGGGTATTGCTGACCTGCTCGTGCTTAAAGCAACACTGCTGAGACCCGACGGAGCTGGGGCCTCACCTGCCAGCACCTCAGCAGAGTAGGCACCGGCTCCGCTCCCAGCAGAGAGGAACCTACGCCACAGCTCACGGCTGCTCTTGGGGCTTACCTTGGGCAGATGAAGATTTAGCATGCCCCACTGCTTTCTGGGAAACAGGCAGCTCTGTTTCTTTTCCCCATTTATCACCACTAAGTGGAATACGTGAACATACTGCCTATTGCTTTACTTCTCACAAGCACTTTCATCCCCTGGAGAAGCAGCTGCCGCAGAGCCCATGCCCAGGCAGAGCAGGCACAGGCATGGACAAGGGCTGCCTGAGTTCTAGCTAAAAAGCAGCGGAGCAAAACAGCGACCGTATCGCTTTCAGCAATGCATGCATTTCCTTCTCTCTGGTGCTAAAGGAGCACGGAAGAGTGGTCTGGATTTCAAATAAATCAGTAGTATTTGGTAAAGCTCATTGTAGGAATTGCTTTTTTCTCTGAATCTGTGCCACCACAGTCTCTTACTGGTAGAGCCACTATGTTCTCCGGCATGGCCTCCAGAAGAATGACAGCAGTGCTTGTAAAATAGGCAGAAACAACAGATATCTTCCAATGTCATTTTTTATAAATCTGATCACACTTGCAGGGGGCACCTTATTTTGAATCTCTGCAGCCTTGGGGTTAAATGTGTGTTTTGGATTCATGTTCCTCAGTTCACATTCACTCACGAGAAGGAGGCTAAAGCAAGACGAAGAGTGACACATCCAACAGTGATTTGTGACAAAAGATGGGGAAACAGGGAAAGGAAAAAATCCACCTATAGAGTAATTTGTATATTTCTTATCCACATCTTACAGTGAGAGCTCTTCAGCTAACAGCAAAGTATAAGTGACTCATTAAGCC